TGGGTTTGGTTTGATTTGGGCATTTTGATGTCAGTTGCATTTTGACAAAGCCAGCAAATAGACCTTTATCCTCTCAGATTAAAAAAAAAAAAAAAATCAGAGCAAATCTCACTGCCTCCAGGAGCCTTTCCCTATGTGGGAATCTTACCTCTCAAACTGCCCGATGTGATGAGGAGTGGTGGTAGCTGCAAATCTGAGCTGGTACTTGGAGTAGTTATGCCTGAGCACTATTGCTGCTCTGTTTACGAAGCCCTGTCAAAACACCTTGCTTCTTATCATCTAAAGGATTGCGTGCTGATTTGTAATACATTGTAGGAAGGGATGTTTATCAAAGTATTACCTAAGAGATCTATAGCTACTGATAGTTTACTGTTATAAGCTAAGGAAAACAAACAAGCAAACAAGCAAACAAACAAACTCATGGCCATCCATTCGGTTCTGGCTCATAGCAACCCTAAAGAACAGGCGAGAACTGACCCCTGGGATTTCTGAAACCGCAAATCTTCAGGGTAGTAGAAAGCCCCATATTTTTCCCATAAAGCAGCCAATGGTTTTGAACTACTGACCTTTGGATTAGCAGCCCAACACTTCTAACCTACTATGCCACTAGGTCTCCTAATAGACCACCACACACACACACACAGAAGAAAAAAATATCCATTATGGGAACTTTTATTTTGAAGATCTTAAAGCCTTTTTGTTTAGATAAGCACAAGAAACGTCAGGGAAAATGAGACCAATTTCAAAGTCTCTATAGTTTATTTATGGCAAATAATGGCTAATGTGCCAAATACCACATTAAAAGGAATTAAAAGGAAGAAGGGAAAATAATGTGAGGGTCATTGAACTAAGTTTTGAATTATGTGGGTAGACTTTGAGCAGAAACGGCTAGGGAAGACATTTTGTGTGGGGGTTGGTAGAGAACAGAAAAAGAGAGATTATTGTGAATAGAGGCAAAAAGACTTGCCCCCAACCTATAATGCGTCTTGTAGCAGAGCTTCTTATCTACTAATGTTGGCAGTTACTTATCTTCAAGAAGTTAACCCAGTACAGTTAAGGAGTAAACATGTATGTGTGATGAGTTTCAGCTAACACAACTTCACACTGGGGAATGCTCGTATTTTCTGGGTATCAATTTGCAATCTTCGACTAACCTAAACTCAACTCACTGTCATTGAGTCAATTGTGACTCATAGTGACCCTATAGGACATGATAGAACTGCTTTTCTGAGATCTTTCGCTCAAGGAGCAACTGGTGGTGTCAAACTGCTGACCTTGAGGTTAGCAGCCCAATGTGGACCATGCCCTGGTAGAGTGTAGTGGTTATACATTGACTTGCTAACTGAGAAGTCACCAGTTGGAAACCACCAATCACTCCTGGAGAGAAAGATGAGGCATTCTACTCTTTTAAAGAGTTATAATCTCAGAAATTTAGGGGCAGTTCTACCCTGTCCAATAGGATCGCTATGAGTCACAATAGACTCAAGGGCAGTGCGTGCGTGCGTGCGTGCGTGCGTGCGTGAGCGAGCAAAATCTATGGGGTAGTCCTAGTATATACAATCATTTCAAAAAATTAAAGAGTAGAGATTAACAGATTTCAAAAATGATTTTATCTTTCTAATCATGGAAACATTCATATCCAAGAAGTTCGCCTTTTACTTCAGGTTGGAACTTATGTTTCTAAGAGAACAGAATCTTTTGTTTTTCCTGTGCCGTGCTTAAGTGTTGGTCTTCTTTGGGCTTGGCAGTTGATAGAAGATAACAGAAATGTTGAGTAGGAAACTGTTTGCTGTCAGATAACTCAAATTGCTTAATATAAAAGCCATCTGTTGTCATTAGACCAGAATGAGATTCGATTTGCTTTCCTGAACTGAAGTAGGCGAAGGTGTGTAGGAGTAGGAAGGGAGTGTTTCTGACAGATCATTAATTTTTGACAGACATTTGAGTATTAAACTTTAATTTTCATTTTTGAAATGTTGACCAAGAAGACATAATATACCAGAGGACGCTTTTCTCTCAGATTTTCAATATTAGCCCTGAGTAAATTTTTAGATGAATGATTTTGTTTCTCCTATTTTGCATCGAGGCACTAGAAAAAACTTCCCCAGCCCCTCCCCCTAGTCTCTAACAGCTTCAGAAGTGCAAGTTCATAATTTTATTTCTGATTTTTTAAATCATTTAACTGTTCACTGGCTCCAGTCTGATGCCTCTTCTCACCAATTAGTGATCCCTTAAACCTGGGATCAAGCTATGGACTTTGGATTTAACTCAGAGTTAGAAGAACACTT